TTTGAATTTCATCAAAATTTTGTGATATTGCTTTGAAAAGTGTTCATGTTTTATACAAAAATCTAATTTAAAACATAAATGTGACTTCTATAAACTTGAACAATTATATAAATCTTGAACATTTTTTCAAAAATACGAATAATTTCTGAAAACACCAACATTTTTTGAATATGTGTAAAAAAATCGATATCGAGATTTGTTTTTGGAATTTCGAACAAAAAAATCAAAAAGAGGAAAAAGAAAAAGAAAATGTTTGGATCTGTGTTGTTGTATGTTATTATAAACTTGTGATGCTCTGTAATCACACTCATTATCTCTGCTGGCTAGCACAAAAAGTTCTAATGCCAGAGGTTCCGGGTTCTATCCATGGTAGCGCGTGATGTTTTTGCAAATTTACACTACAATACTCGACCACTTCTCCATACAGATCCGCTCGTGCACCAGTGGGCCGGCTGTTTGTTTGCCGGACACTCTGCCTCAATAAGCGGCAGATAGGAGCTTCCCATCGATGCCTCATCTAATTTTTTTTTTTGAGACAACTTCACGAAGCTTTTTATTAAATCGTCACAATGTTTACAGACACGGAGGGAAGATCTTCGGGGTGGCCCAGCCACACATGGCGTCCAACCCCGAGAGATAAAGCATGCTTCGCTAAGTTGTGAGCTTCATAATTTGAGCTCCTAAATTTATGGCTAACCTTACAAATATCAAAATCTAATCAGTGGTTTATTATTACATGCGCAATAGCTCCATAGGAGGACGCATTCTCCTTCTTCTGAGACTGCACCACCTGTTTACAGTCTGATGCAACATGGATACACCGTTGGTAGAGGTCCTCCGCTAGTGCTAAGCCTTCCCTGATCGCAATCGCTTCTAGTGTCTCCGCATCCGCAATGTGCCTCAATACCAGAACTGAGGCTCCCAAAAATAATCCCTCTGAACTCCTGCATATCGCCCCCACGGCCCCAAATCTAGCATGCCTTGGTGCCGCTGCATCTACATTGATCTTCACACGTCCCGTGGCAGGGGCCTGCCACTGGGTCGGCCTGGGGGCTTTAACACCAATCTGTCGTGGATCCCTTGCGTTAATATGCCTTAGATCCTCAAGACAGCTTGTGATGAAACCATTAATGCAATGTGGTGATTGGAAGATATCCTCATAGATCGCTTTCCTCCGAGCTCGCCAAATAGCCCACATGATAACAATCATATGCGCAAACATATCTATGTTCAATGTTTCGCCCAGCACCCCAGCAATGCCTAAAACCATGTGGCCCATAAACAAATCCCAATCGCGTAAGGAAAAAAAAACTTTGAACTCCTTCGATGTTCGCTCGCTATCGACATTGCTCGCGTTCGCCGCAGCCGTGAAACTGAGCTTCGCAGCGAGAGGGAGGGTGACTCTCGCTACCATGTCCACACCTCCGCTGTGAAACCTAGCTGTTCAACCTAACAGGTTGAGGTTGATTGAACTTGAAGTCTGAAGTTTATACTAGAAGCTAAGTTTCAGTCTTTCAGACCAAGAGGAGATGAACTAGTGTTGTAAATTACAAAACTGAGTGTGGTAAAACAGATTGAGATTTGAGATGGTGTTGTTTGTTATGATTTCATTTTGCCATCCAAATTTGTTCATGTACAAATAGCAGCTAGAAGCTTATTCTCAACGTCGTGGTGCAGCCGGCCATGGCCGTGTCCTGTGAAGCCCAGGTGTGCAGTCGTCATGATTATAGGCCGTAACATGTTTTTTCTATTCTCGAGGTGATTGGGCTGCTTATGGGCCGTGCAACCAACCCTGCCGATTCTAAGCAAAAATTGCCTGTGCATTGCTACAGAAAAAAAAAATCCTTACACGACCAATCCGTGATGCCACTTCTCTTTGCAATCATCATCAATGGTGGTCATATTCACCACCTATTTACGATGAACTTGGATCAACCCCAAGGCAACAAGCTTGGTCATCAGCACACTAGTTTCGCGACCCCTCCCCGCACCGCCCTGTATCTGCGGGCTTGTAATGATGGTGCGTGTCAGACTCATCTACACTTCATCATATATCATCTTCGAACTCCTTCTCACCATCTTAAAAAGTATATCAAATATAACAACTCAACAAAATATGACACTATATACCATCTCGTCTACAAACATCCCTACGGCCTACATTATAAGAAAGTGGCAAGAGCAAATATGACACTACTCCATCCAAGTTGAGGTTTCCATCCCATGTCTACATAACTCCATTTACTCACCGTAGTGCATATTTTCTCAGGCCAAGACGCAAACCACAATAGCAAATGTCATTATTGGATTGGTCACACAAGCCAACATTCAGTTGAGACTCGGGTCTCCATCCAACGACACATTTCTCAAGTTCATCCATTTACTCCATGCGATTGGATATTCTCGCAGAATTGCAAACAAGTCAATACACACCCGAGAAGACTGGCCACACAAGCAAGCGCCGGCCACCGGGCTTCAAGTGCTACATTACTAGTCGCTGTCGCTATCGCCGTCTGAGCAAGGATAGTCAATACAAGTGCTACTACCGCCGCCGTATGCTTGGCTGCTTGGGTGAATAACAGGCTGGTAGTTTTCACAGCCATAGCAATGCCCTGCAACGTTGATAGAACAAATAGAGTTAGACACGTATCAATATGAGATTGCGATTAAGGCATATGTGTGAACAAGACAACTGATTGCACCTGATGCAAAACTCACGATCAAAAAGCAAACATGGCCATAATCAGGAAAGAAACAATAGGAATAACTGACAAGAAAGCCAACAAGGTACCTGCGTCATTTTCCCCAACTATACAGCACATAATCACATCATTCTCACTCCGAAAATTCAGGTGGACTTCAGAGAAGAATAGCTTGGTACTGTCGGCATCAGCAGAATGTTGCTCCTCAGGCTGCTTAGCTGTGAAGTTATAATGGGCGCCGGCCCCTCCAAACTCATAAAATATAGATATCACTTTTACCTTCACCAGTTCAAACTGAAAAAAATATTAAAAAATGTAAAGACACGTTTAAAATGGATAATCAGGCTGAAAAACCATCCCAATTGTCACGACCTCACATACTCGGAGATAAGAGAGAAAGAGAGAGGAAGACCTTGGTGTTCTTGGCTCTGTTGTATTTACGCAAGGCCACCTCCGCATGGTAGCGTGCGTCCTTTTGTTTGGTCGCGACTCTTCTTTCACGGAGCGCATTCCTCACCTCCGGAGGCTTCCTCTTTCGCATTACAACTGGAATTCCGACGGTAGCCCGGTCCAAGTCACTCGTAAATCTGGGCAGGGGCAAAGGCTGAAACCTCGAAGCATGTTCCTCCATGTTGATACCTTCAGGAGTGCTCCTCTCCATGGACATCCAACCAGCTCGACTCCTGATTCAGTAATGTGAACTGATTGTTATAAAAAAAAATCGCAAGTACCATGCCATAATGTGAGAAATAGTAACTGTATCATTTACCCAGTTGCTTTTCTTTCATGATGAAGATGCATGCAGAGTTATAGAAACATGATTAAAAACTCATCGAGTTTGAATTAAAATTTGACAGATTTACCGATTTGATTTTCTTTTATGATGATGAAGGTGCATGCAGAATTCTTGAAACATGTTTAAAGAGTTGACGAGAGTGTTTGGAATTAAAATTTGACATGATGAAATTGAACAGCTGTCAGGTGGGGATGCCGGATATAAACGGCTGCATGGCAGAAACGGGTAGAACTACTTGACGTAACACAATGAGAGCAAAACATGCGGTTGCAATATTAATTTTATTGAACGGATTGCTGAGTGTTTCAGCACATTTCTAAGCCCGTCACAGATGCAGCTTGCAGTGTAGAATGTTAACGGGAGTTGTGTTAACCATTTTCCAGCGAAAACAGTTTGAAACATAAACAAAAAATGGACGACTTAGTACTAGGAACCAGAGGATTTGAGAATGCCAAATGAAGATGCACAGTGGTGTTAAACAGATAGCAATCCAAAAAAAAAAGTTAGGAGTGTTCAACTTGCATACCTCCCTTTTGAAGCGGCGCATGAGACGGCAACTTGATGGTGATGTTGCTTTGTCTCCTGTGGCTTGGCATTCAAATTCTCTTTAAACCTGAACCAGAACATATGACTTAAATAGAATTAAAGTAAAATGAACTCTCATTACTATTCCCATTTCAGTAAATTTTAGAAGTAGAAAATATTTTTGGACCCGATAGCATTGCTGCACTTTTCAGTACAATTCTTAGCCCATCACTGATAACACCCAGCAGTGTAGAATGTTATTTTTTTTCTTTTGAAAAAAATGAAATTCGGCTAACCATCTGGAACGGGAGGAATTGTGCTGCCCATTTTTTAGGCAAAGCACAGTTTGGAATATAAACAAAAATGGACAAGTTAACAATGGGAACCAGAGTATGTACACTTAAGAATGCCGGATGACCATGCACAGTGGTGTTGAACATAGAGCAACCCAGAAAAAAAAGTGAAGATTTAGGAGTTTTACCTTGCATATCTCCCCTTTGAAGCGGCACGTGAAACTTGGACTTGGCGTTGCTTTGGCTCCTCCTCTGGGAAGGCATTCCCCTTATACCTTGAACCACACCATATGATTGATTCAGCATCACAGTAAAATGAAGCAGAGTCGTCAACACAGTCTATTATATAATAATCTAATTTCAGCAACTCCCAGAATCGTAATAATTTGTTGTCACCTTCTCAGATAAATTACTAGTTTCAGCAAAGCTTTAGAACCATAAGAATTTGTTCTCAAATACATTTCCAATTTCAGCAAATTTAGAATCACAAGAATTTTGTTCCCGTAGACATGTGTTCTTTAGATTCGTTTCCAATTTTAGCACATTTTGGAAGAGAAATAATTTGTTCACAAAACAGATACACGTGGTGGCCTAGTTCAGAAATGAATCAAACAGGATTAGAGCAAATTGATATATCAAACAGGATCAGGATTAGGCACCGCCAGTTAGGGGTCCTTGACGTACATAGCAGGCAGCGGATCGAGGGGAGGAGGAGGGAGGCGCGTCGGGGGGACGGCGAGTGGGCGGTTAGGGCTCCGCAGGATGCGTCTGGGGACGCCATGCGAGGCGGCTCCCTCGCCCGCCGTGCCAGAACCGGCGGCCGCGCGGTCGTCCAGATCTAGCTGGGACAGGCAGGGGTGAGAGCCGCACCGCCAGCGGTCATGGAGTGGGGAGGGGAGCGGGATGAAGCAGTCGTCCACGGACATGGTGGGTCACGGCGTGCCGGCGAGGCGACGCCGGAGGCGGAGGAGGGCGGCGAGCGAGGGTTTAATTTGGGGAATTTGGGAGGGGTCCGCCGGAGCCGTGCTTCGACTACTGCTCTGTTTTATCTGGGAATTTGGGGAAGAAGGCTGGCTACTCTGCGCCGGTCGACCGGGCGCGAGTATTTCCGGTCCACTTTTCCACCGTGCGATTAACAGGCTAGTGAGGTTGGATTTGCGCCCGGCAACATCCTTTACATCGTGTTTTTTTTTTGACAAAACTGTAAGAAAGGCCTATATACTGTATAATTGATATAACAAATCCTAATTGCAAGTACCACGTGCTGAACATGAGTCTTAGTCTGCTCCGTGTTGTGCGCCCCCCTCATCTCAAAGCATGGCCGTGCACAATCAAAGGCAAAATAGAAGCAAAAAGGGTAGAGTTGGGTAGATGGAGTGATGAGTTAGCCGAGGAGTGCAATAAAAAGGAATGAAGCTCAAGGTGTGCACGATCTTCATACCGCAAAGGGGGAGGGAGGGCAAGATGACAGTGGTGTTTGTTGAGTCAGGCATGATTGAAGCATTTTCACAATTTTACTATTAGCAATGCACGAGCGTCGAGCTAGATTATACGTGCATTAGAGCATGAATATACCAAGTCTTCCTCCCCTTCCACTGCATTCCCCTTCACCTCCTCTCATACATTGGATCATGAGTTCATTGTGTTTGTTTATGACCATTTTATCTTTAAAATGATTTCTTTATTTCACTTGTGCGAAGCGGTATCTCTCTGCATTGCACTGTGCATGGCCCTACTGGTGTGGGAGCTTCTAGCAATGGGTTTGACCGGCCGCACCATTGCTTCGCAATTCGTAAATTCATTGGATTCTTTGCATGTTTGTAAGCTTTAGATTCTGAAACTTGATGAATTTCTACCACGTTTTAGTAGTTGAAGCTCAGTAAAGTTTTAAAAACATGTCAAAACATATTTAAAGTGATCTTATTTGAACCCTCGACACAGGAAATACGAATATGCAAACGGAACTTTAATTAGACTTTCGACTCAAAAGATATATAGTGAATTCAAATTTATAAAATCCAAAAGAAAAAAAGGTCTCGGTGCCCCGGCAAGGATTTTTTTATTTTTTTACATTGAAATGCAGGTAAGCTTGAGGATCACGACAGCAACTAGGGCCGGGGATAACAGTCCACATTACAACAATTTGGGGGAGACTAGGCGGCAGTGTAGCAAGGCAGCCAAGCCATGTATTCGCCACCCCAAGCAGCGCGACGGGGAGGGGCAAAATTTCGTGTTTTGATCCTTTTTTAAAAGTTAATCGAGATCTGACCCTAGTTTGTAAAAATTTCGGGATCTGACGCTTGTACTACCCGTCAGGGTTCATGGCAGTAGGGTGTAACAGCCTACCGCCAGGGACCTTGACGGTAGGAAACATCCCTACCGCCAAACATCACTGAGTTTCATACTTAGGAAAAAATTACGGTAAGGCATGCAACCCTATCGCCAAAGGACCGTGATGATAGACTGTCATAAACTACCGCCATGAACCTTGGCGATTAGAAAATGTTCAGATCCCAAATTTTTTGCAAAACAAGATCAGATCTCGATCAAGTTTCGCAAAATGGTCAATACTATAAATTTAGCCATGTGGAGGCATAGGCGCAACGGAACTTTTACGCACGACAATCTTTACACGATCCACCGCCCCACGCGATTTTTTGTCAAAAAAGACCACATACGATTTCATATTGACAAAAAAGACCATCTACGCACCGTATTAACAAAAAAGACCACTTACGTCATGGCGGCAGGGCCGGCAACCGACACATGGCACTTGCCGCCACAGGCGCTGGCGGCGGGACCTGCTGCCGTGGGCGGTGGCGGCAGCCCAAGCATATAACCGGTTGAGCAAGTAACGGAACAAGAAGAGGCTGGTGGCCCCTGCCGCCACATGCCATGACGGCAAGTTTGATGCGTGCGACGTGAAAATGTCTTAGTCCTCGCACTGCCGCTGCATGAAAGTATTTACTGGCTGCTGCACGTACATTCTGACGCATGCAGGCCATTATATGCATGGTCATACGTATACGCGGCAACAGCAAAGGCACCTGCATGGACGTACGGAGGTAAAAAAGTCTAGCTTATACCAGGTCCCAGGCAGTAGTGGCAAACATTGCACGCAGCCAGCGAGGATCTAGAAGCTCTACAGATGGAGAGATGCAGCCGGAATAACACAGCTATCCGCAGGCGCATTGTCGCGCGCAGCAGCAGCTGCTGCCGCCTACAGGCGTGGCGGCGGGGCCCACCTGGCCTCGCCCCGTTCTGTCACGTGGCACCTGAGATGAAAAACCTGTTGCCCCGAAGCTGCCGCCTGCACTCATGGCGGCATGTCCCGCCGCCGGCGCCCGTGGCGGCAAGTGCCACGTGTCGGCTGCCGGACCTGCCGCCACCGTATATGTGGTCTTTTCTGTCAATACGCTGTGCAGGTAGTCTTTTTTGTCAATACGAATTCGTATGTAGTCCTTTTTGACAAAAACTCGCCCCACGCAGGGGCAGCAGAGGTACGGTACGATGTCATCATCGACTACACGACGAAGATGATATTTGCAGGAGCAGAAAACTCACGGATCCTCCTCCTGGTCCGCCATGGCCGGCTGCTGGTTTGATCCGCAGTTTTATCGAATCCACGCCAAGGTGTGAGGTTGCCGTGCGTCGCTGCTGGGTTCGTATATTATTTGTAGGACCCTCGCTCTTATTTATATCATCATCAAGAGAGAGGGACGGCCACGCGTTTCCGATTGGTGCGGTGGTCGGTTTGACCTTCCAATGTTCTGCGGATTTGAATTCGACTGCCGTTCCAGAACAAGTTTTTTTTTAAACACAATACAAACACATAAGCTCATATATATCTACGCGTACACTCACCGTATAAATACGCACACACACACACTCTGTCCATCTTTAAAATACCGAGTCGGCATATCATGGATTAATGAAGTCACCACACGCGCCTTGTAGTCGACGGGAACGTATTTTCCCACTAAACGTGCATCGTCGTAAATTTTGAAATAAATCTAGGATAATGCGAGCATTAGGACTTGAATCTTGATGGACTAGACCTGAGCGCACCTTGGCGCGCGTTGCCTGGTCCTAGCATTTGTGACTAAGCGTGTGCGTTGCCGGGTCCTAACATTTGTGACTAAGAGTGTGTGCCAGCTTAGCATGTTTAACCAGCACAATAACTTGATTGATATACTCATGTCAAAGTAGAAGTATTTAGTCTGTTCAAAAGCAAGAGGGCACAAGTTCAACACTACAAAGTAATGTCAGAAGATAACAAAATCTAACCAAGGTACATTATGTTCAATACTAAGAGCAGGGACATAATATAGGAGAAGCAGCTACAGTGGCAGTGAAACCAATATTGAGCAAGCAGTGCAATTAGCAAATCATAGGGTCAACACAGAATGCTTTAAGAATGTTATTTTCATACAAAGACATCAAAGGTTTGAGAGGGCATCCAGCAGTTTTGATGCCACACAATTCTCAGAGTAAGGCATTCTTACAAAAGGTGAATGGTCGAACAGAAGACCATTGAAACGGCTTGGTAGCTACTGGTATAATAGACAGTTGGGCAGTCATTAGCGCCGAAGTGAGTTGTTCCTGGCATTGACTGATCATCATTGGCGAATCACCTGTGTAAGAAAGGCATCATCATCCATGACCACACACAAAAATGTTATTTGACAATCTTAATAGACCATGAGGCTCATAAATAAACTAAACATGTTAATTTTGTTTTCTTTAACCAAATGTGTAACATTTTTGCCATATAAAACAATGAGATACTTGCATCTGATTTATGACAGAAAAGATAGAAAAGCATCAACAAATGATTCTGTAATAGAAAAGAAAATGAAAAAAGAGAGCGAATATGCACCCAACAACCCATTACCTTTGTTGTTCGGCATTTTTAAATCCCCTAGTTATGTGGAATGTAATAAGCATATTCCACCCTTCACTCTGCATATTTGCAACTCGGCGGCTACAGATGCTTAAGGAGATACTATGTTAGGAATTAGCAAAATAACATATGCTACATAGTGAAGAGCACATGCAAAGATTATATCAATAAGAATGCTACTTCTTTCAAACAATCTAAAGAAGGTTGAAGTGTATATAAAGACAAGACTTCAATATGATTATATGCATACGCTTTATGATGGGCGCTGGAGAAACACAACTGCGAAGTGATTACATAGGATAAATGCACATCATAAAATATCTTTGAAATGAGAAAGAACTAAGTGCATCACTTATTTAACGCAACTGAGAAGTGATTACAGAGGATAATGCACATATTTATAACCATATAGGAATTGCTAAATAAGAATCAACACAAAAAAATTGAGAGATTCTGGAGATTAGATCAAAAGAAGAGGATGACTGGAAAGTGTTAGGGCTAGGATATAGTGGCTGAGGGAACTCTTAAATTATTAGGATGAATGTCACAAAGTGTCACCATATCCATGAAAAAATCTACCCGAATACAACTAAGTATTATGAACACCAAAGGGAATCTGATAATCCAGAAAAAGCAAAATTTGTACCCAAAAGCAACGGATGTTTACTGATATTTCTTGATGTTTGGCACATCCATTTCAGTTATTTATACCATGTGGATCATTTACAGGACAATACATTCAAAAAATGAGGAGAAAAGAAAGACATACATAATACTAACAAATAAAGCAAATGACCAATGTTTAATGATACTGACCAGAATCACAATTCATTCTGGAGGTTACTTGATTATCATGAACATGTGGGAAGAAGGGGTTACCTCACCTACGGCATGGAGCTAGAATAAAAAAATAGGAGCTCTACCTTTCCCATACTATTAACATTCCAGTATTGTTGAGGTATCTATCTATATCTGCAACAATATATGGTGTTTGCGCAACTTCTATAATATCTGAAAGAAAGA